CTATTTACACGTAGTCTAAAATTTGAAACAGGTTCTTATAGAAATTAACATAAAGAATTCTTCAAGAAAAAAAATATCTCAAACTGTAGTGAACTTGAACATGTATCACTTCTAAATTTGGTATAAATAATGTTTGAAACCTTGTAAATTTTCATCACATAAGGGATAAATAAGAGTAGCCTCTAATTCCACTAAGTACCATTTACATAAGAACCTGCTTAGGCTAAATTTGAAAAAATGAGTTCTTATATTATATTATTGCATAAAAAGCGACGACCTCGTTCCCAGGCCATTATCCCCTCGCTTGGGCACAGGCGAAATTGTAAGGGGCTGTGAACGACATTCAAAAATGTTTTAGTTAATAAGAATATGTTAGGAGAGATAATGATTATGTTGTGCTATCGATTTCTAGGCATATCAAAATTGGATAGCCAAGCATGAATCTGAGAAAATACTTCCTGGACTGAAGCTGTCTCCTGAGCAGTTGTTCTTTGTTGGGTTTGCTCAGGTAACGATTAATTAACGACAGCATGTAAACTAAGTCAAAGAAAGACACACATACATACACATAAATATTTTAGTCAAATCAACAAAACACGATTTCAGCGAACTACACCTACTATAGTTAAAAGCATTTTATACACTTATTTCAAAAAAGTTGTCGGGGATGACGGCAAACCGCGATTGGATGACCATGGGACTATATGGCTGCCCTTTTTAACTTACAAAATATCTCTTGCTGGGTATACCGTGTTTATTAAAAATTTACCACAACTATCTTATCTGTATGAATCAGTTGTTATTTTCGATCAATTAGAAAAACCCATGACTCCTTTCGGTCGTGCAATTTTTTTTTTAATTTTTGAATTAGTTATATTACCTTTAACTACTTCATGCAACTAATTGAATTAACTATGGTTAATTTATAAATTCTGTTTATTTTTGTGTTAAATTATAGCGTGAATCGATGATAGTGAGATTTTTTTGGACAATATTTGACTATCCAAATTTTTTCCGACAACCTTTCTTGAAATAGTTGTATTAAATACAAACAGAGACTAAAAGACCAAGCAAACGAGCCCACGAAGGAACTAGTCCTTTTTCTGGACAAACGAACATAAACCTCTCCATTAGAGTGAAGCCATGACACTCGTGGAACAAAACCTAGCGTGATATTCAAATAGACACAAAAGAATACAAGGCATAGGGATACAATTAGAGCGTACCAAGGTGTATTAGTGTGATATCTATTTCACGGGTTTCTTGACTTTGCTGTATACATTTGTACCTCGTTAAAATGTCATCAATTTTGATTATTCAACAGCAATGGTGTAGTTCCTATACACCAAAGGGCGTAGAAATGCGAAAGTATGATACACACACCACGCAAAAATACAGGTACGAAATACAGATTGGTATGCTATGAACTTGAGCAATCCTTTGCTAATTATGTGTTTATTTATCATGCAAATCATTCACCCAAATTACATGCAGTATTTTTTTAAAAAAAAGTTCTCTAGGTGGTTATGCAAACATGAGAGTCACGAAGGAGTCGAAAACGTTTTTAGGGAGAATCCTAAAGTGGTCTTTCCAGGAAGGCCACCACACCAGCAAAAAGATCACGAGAAGGACTCTGCAAATTAGACGAAATGTATTAAGGAATACAGGCTTCAATGAGGGGTGACATCCCCCTCCCCCCTTGCACCCACCCGATGGTTTCGCCGTTGAATCAAGAAAGAGATGGCCTTAGGAACACAAATGTAATTCCTCTCTATTGATTCTTGCAGAGTCATCGGAACTCTCTCAAACTTTAACAAGTTTTCCGAGGCGTTTCAATGTCCTGTCGACAGCCCCATGAACCCGACGAAGAAGTGTTCCGTTTGGTGAAGTTAACACAAATAGGGCCTATTTTTGTTAAATTAGAAGTTGTAGCATAGCTAGGCGCAATGGATACCGTACTCCTTTTGACAGCGCCCATGTAACCAAACATTAAGTCATAGTCACAATTTTAAAACCCCGTAGATATCTGCACTTGTAATAGACAATTCTTCATGTTAAGTAGTACGACCACGGTAGGAAGTAACCGAGTAGTATACTTATAACCGTATTGGGTATCTCGCACGTGGTCGTCTCAGAGAATATACTCTACCCTTTCTTTCAAAACGAGAATAATTCAATGTTAAACGCTCTGAATAGTTGTCTCTGACATGTTTTTTTTTGCGGTTTTCATAACTTAATGTGTCTTGTCAGACTGATAAAAGTCGTTGCATCGACCTTTTCCAAAAGGTCTGTTATAAGATCGTGAATAAATCATGAAGCCTGACCAAAACTCCAACGTATTCAATCCAATGTAAAATTGGACTCAATACCAGTTCTCATATTTTATGACAATTAGTTGTGGTACTTGGGAATTTAAACTTTGATCCTTTTTCCTAACTACTGGTTTAATAACATCATCCTAAGCAATACCATTACTGTACATAAGCCTCGGGTTTCACACGGATTATCTTTCGTACTGCTTGGCAAGCGATCTTATGAAATAAAAGCGGACACTTTTCTGAGCAAAACTCTTCGTAATGCTTGGGCTTTTCCAGCTTATCATCGAAAACATCCCCTGAAACACACAAGAAAATGATCTTAGTCGTCTTCAAAGCTCCTTGCGTCATCGTTAAAGGTAACAGCACCTTTGCATCGAAGCGAGAATAGTGATGAGCTTGCAAAAACCTTCGTTGACTGATATGGATAATTTCAAGCTCACTGCCAGTCACCTCGCTTCGAAAGTTACGTTTCGAGATGGCGCATCGAACTTTGTCGGAAACCGACCAAAGACCCGTCTTTTATCAGTTTAAAATAGGTTTAGTACGTTAAGTAATGGTCCCAATTTCTACTTACAGTAATTATTCTCCGAGTTAACTAGATAGTCAAGATCCACATTTTTGATTCCAACGTGTTTGAGTGTGATCTCCTCCAAGTCACAATTGCCTTCCAGTTGACGAACGGACTTCACCAAAGTGATCGTCCCAATCTGGTCTCCAGGATTGACCTTGTTGATGTTGGTGTGGGAGGGATACTCTTCGTAGACCACGTCACCGAGATCGTACTCTGTGTTATTTACCATTGCAGC